AGATAATATTGGTAGAATCATTTGTAATTCAGGTCTTTTTCGTATGAATTACATAAAAAACCAACCTAACCTCTTTCTAGTTTAATTTTTTTCTGGAATAGAGAATATATGATATGATTCTCTAAACTTATAACATAAATAAGGAACATCATCATCCTCATTCCACAAAAATATCAAAAAATATAGAGCCATGTCACAATTTCTGTTTTGTAGCCATTGACATAAATGACCAAATTCCATTCTCTTACGATAACGATTATGTCGAATATTCGCATATCTTGCAACATCAGAATCTACATACTTTTCACGCTTTTTAAATTTGCCACTTAAAAATATTGCAAAGAAGCATTGATATATTCCTTCAGTTTTATTTGAAGCAAATACATATATAGTGAGATAACACCAATTCCCACAACACTAGATTACTGGAAGCAATTAAAGGATGACAAATTACTGGTTAGAAGTTACTAGTTAGAACCCATATGTCAAAGTAGTCAAAGTACCTACATATGACAGGCACCACTGAATAGTGAATATATACATTTTCGCGATCTATTCAGGTTAGACAAGGTTAGAAATAAGATTAAAAGAGATAGAAACAGTAACTACAAGTCAGACGTATTCACCAATATTCACTCGCGAAAAAGAGCCTTATGTTCAATTTTTCGAGTATAAAATAGTATATGCTCAAAGATACTATGCTGTTTGTTGCGACATCTGTCAATCAATGAGTTAAATGACAGCGTTTGATAGGTTGAATTGAATTAGACGTTGACTGAAATATTATACTTGTTTAGAGGTATGGTAGCTTTTCCAGAAGCCACCGTAGATGGCAGTTATCGCACACATGATTATATTAACTAAGCGTATACAACCACTTATACATCTTAACGTATTGGGGGTGTAGTATTGAACTCCATTCAAGGATTAATTAATAAAAGTTCTTAAATAATCTTTCAGATATACTTATCTCTGTACCTATATAATTTTTAATTTATTGCATCTTTGAATAATTTTCATACACGATTTTCACATTACTTAACGTGTCCACAAATAATTCGAAACTAAAAGAATAGATACTTCAAGCGGAAAAAGCATCATTAAAATTACTACAGCACATAATTTGGTAAACGCTAGAAATAATTCGCACAATAAATTTCCTTCACACATGTCACACAAAGCTGAAGTAGGTTGATTAATTATAAAACATGTACGCCTCAGTCAATTGAGACACCTCTGAACCCCTTATCATTTGAGATGAAACGGAAATGGCTTCGCTGTTGCCTTAACAAACGCCCTTCTACATTTATTGTACACACACACATTGAGCGTAGGTGGCATACAGTACCATATTTAACAAGACATACCGTGAAATATCCCACTATATCATTGTCAGATTCCCTACACCCATAATGTAAATTTCTCGAATGTAGTAAGTAGAATTATTGGCTACTGAAAGTTTTCCATTTAAGTTGTAGTTGTGTATGTAGGCTGAACAAATAAAACAACTCTTTATTTTAAATATATTATTACTTGACCGCTGTTGCGGATCAGGATATATTAAATACAAAAGAAATAATAGATTAAGTATTAAGTAGGTTACATCCTATAGGTACTTCTAATAATTGATTTTTTAATGAAGTCAAGGTGAACATTTTCCCAGTACTTACCCATCAAGTTCAAAGTCATTATGGGCCTTGTATAATTAACTTGGTAGATGATTTAGTTGATGACCGTGACCATATTATGACTAACTACATTTGCTGCTCTTAACAATTTGGTCTTAGAAAAAGATAACTTTTGGAAAGAAGGGATAAACAAGTGAATTATTGTTCAGAGAGAGACAACATTCTCTTTCTAAGAACCAACTTAGAAGTAAAATGTTTTCGATGGGTAATAGATAAGAAACAAGGATAGAAGATCTATTTAAAGAGATGCTAAAGATATTATAAACAATATACAGGGTGTAACTAAATAAGTGTAAAACATACTACCAAAAAGACACTTAGCCAGTAATTTATTTGGTTTACCCCATAGTTGTAAGGGGTGGAAAACGCAACCCCTAAAATTTATTTCCAATGTAACTTTTTGTCTTATTATTTGTTTACCATTTAAAAATTTATTTCNCGAGATGAGGCAGGATAAAGAGGGATAATCCCCCTCGATCCCAAATCATTGAGGCCAATTTCTAGCCATAGAATAATGGCGGCGGTCCATAGATGGCTAGAATTCGTTGGTCTATTCTATAGGATATAAAAATCGCTCTTGCTTCAAACTTCAGTTTAGTGATTATGTTGAATGTTGATTGTTGAATGTTGAGTTACATTAGGTCATTATCATTAGATGCATTTATGATTTTTCGTATGTAATTTGTGTATTTTTGAACCAAACGGAAATGCAAATATAAAATCTGTGAAAAAATACAAAACTGCTCGATTTGCCGGACAAAAAACGTGCTAAATCAGTTTATACGTTTGGTTAGAGTGGCAGTAATAACTTTATATAAATGAACATCTATACCTATTTTGTGCTACAAATAAAATTATTTATGTGCTTCTAATTTGTTCTTACAGAAAATCTGAATTATTCATGACGACACTCTTTTATGGATACATTACCATCTTTGAACAATATATTTGAATTGTTATACAAGTAGATTGTGGATATTAATTTGTGTGAAAACAATTAAAAATGGAAAATTCCAGTGATAAGGAGAGTGTAGAATTAATACAAATAGATATAGTAGAAAATTCAAAAGAAGATCAACCTCCAAAGACAGCGAAAGACCTATTTTCTGTATTTAAAGTTTCAGACGATTCTGACTATGAACCAGATGAAAATAATAGAAGTGATACAGATTCAGATGAACCACTTTCGAAAAGAATGAAAATAAAAACTAAAAAACAAGCTGTTGTAGGAGAAAAGGCTAAAGAGCCTGAGTCTGCTGATGGATCATTAAAGAAAAAGGTTTTAATTGTAATGTTTTTCTTAAATATTTTATTATATATTAATATTTTTAGAAATATTATTCACAAAAGTATAAAAAAGAGTGGGAAGCAATTCCTTCCGTAAAACCTTGGATATCCGAGAGTATTCATGGACCACATTATTTTTATTGTAGGTTCTGCAAAAAAGACTATAAATGTGGGAAAACAGAAATATTTAAGCATATGAGTGCTATGAAACATAGAAGACATTTAACAACTACAACATCGGGCGTACAGGTTAGTTAAATTTGAATTACAAAGTATTATATTTAAATTTTTTGTTGCAAAAATTGATCTACAATCATATAAGGTTCACAAAAAGTTTATTTTTTGATACGGTGTTTAGAAAATGAAATAATCTGGAAGTCATGTAAGAAAAAGCTGCCCTTATTTTGCAGTATAAAAAAATATTAGAGGAGTTTTTAAAATTATAAATTTTGTCTGCATTTCAGTGTCAATAAATTGGCCTTTCGGTTGATTTACTTCAATCGGAAATCTGCCTGTATATTTAAATCGTTTAATTATTAACACACTACAATCCTTTTTTTATTTAACTAAGACCTGTGTTGGACTATAAAATTAACGACAAGATTTTTTTGATCAAAGTAGTTTGAAGTCAATTTTGATGCCACGAATTTTATAAATGGATGAAATGTAGAGAGAGGCGGTAAGGGGCCAAGACAAACAATGAGATATGAGATGGAACTAGTCTCATATCACGACTCAGAGCATTTGTAAGCTTAGCATACACAATTTGTAATATCTGCATATTTTATATCTTGTATTTGTGTAAGCCGCTGTTCTCCATCCTATATTTGTGGTTGTTGTTTGGTGACAATTTCTTTTGTATTTTTGTGTTGAATTTGTTTGTTTTTTATTCTTTATTTTGAATTGTGTCTAAAGAACAATTTTTGTAAAATAGTTACATAGTGTTATGCTCTATGGAGAATATTCAGAAAAATGTAAAAAGGGAGTAGTGTTCTTTAAATATGGTAATACCATTAACATCTTGTTAATGACAAATTGGATGAGAACTTTTTATATTTTTGCATTTCCTAAAGATAAAGTTGTGAGGGACCTGTCAGGTGACGCAAGTGACGCACCGCTTCACCTAAAATTTCCCTTTGGTTGTGCAATTTAAAATTATTTTTAATTTTATATAAATTTTATAATTTAGGTATAATTCTATATTGAAAATGTATTGTGTTTGTTTTTTAATACGCAGAAATAAACAGAATAGTTGCGTGGTGAACACCTAAAAAAAACATTGCCTTCGTTGAGCACGAATATCAATCTCGGACTATACAACATATAGTATACGCAGGTGACGCAGATTGAAATCATTCTGTATCCTGCTACTCTTCATAGCATTGTTTATGGTGGTTGTCATGGCAACGAGGCGACCAATATGTGATTAAATTATGGCGCGTGGGGAACGAGTGACGCAGAAATTGAAGCAGCATCGCCCATCGCCTGCCTCCTGCCTTTAACAGTTTCAGTTTCAGTTTATACGATAAGCCCAGTGCATGATTACATATAACAGTTCTTTGTTAATATTTGTTTTGTATAATAATTGCAGAAATGTTTCCTATGGATGATCCAGTAAGTATTTTATTTGAAACGCCATTTTCCAGATGGAAAATTGAGGACAAAAGGAATTTTTTAAATTGCGATATGACCTGTGCCTTATTCTCTCGATATGGAAAAAAGGGGAAGTCAAAAGACAACGTGTATTATATGTTTTGTGATGCATACGTTCGAAAGTTTCCACGCGAGATTGCAACCACAAAGCTTCTTCATGTACGGTGTGTGTTAATGTTCGCAGAAGTCTACAAGCCGAGCTAATATTTCTATTTTTTATAAAATCTAAATGAAAATCCTTCTCACGAACATCAGTTTTTTGGTAATATTGCAAATGCAACTAAAAATTTCCAGATTCATTTAAAGCTGTTTGACCTTGAAAATTTGAAAATTTTCGCCAGCAGCGCTTTTTTTTTTCTTTTTAGTCAATCCATGAATATGCTTCGCCTATTATCAATGTCACGAGCCGCCAATGAAGTACACTAATTATATTTTTTGTTACTTACCCAAAAATTTATCATACAAATATTTACTTGACATTACAAAATATGCAGTTATTAAGTGGAAGTCATATTTGTAAAAGCTTTTCCATTTTACCAATAAACAGTAAAAAGTTAGAAGTTTTATGTTCAATTTTAGATGCAGATTTTAGTTATAGTATGTTGATGCAACTGTAAATAAAAATTTTTGTATTTATTTACATTCATATGAAATTATTTCTTGAACAATTTTAATTATGTCTTTATCTATTTAAATAAAATAGTAAGCTGCCTCTCTAATATTTATTTCATTAAAAAAAAATTAATTTGATGTGATCTTACAAAGTATTTTCATAAATTTTATTATAATAAATAAATATTTTCATTGTTTTAACACTTAATCGTTACCAAAAAAGAATCCACTATCCTAGGTCACATGACTTACGTCATGTCACTGCTACTTTTGCAAATCATGAACAGCTATACAATGCTTTGAAAGTCGGCTTTGACTCCATTCATTGTATATTGCCAAATCTATCTATAAAACCATCAAACTAACCAAACTTTTTTAATTATAGTTCTCTTTTATCTAATTAAATGAAAGACGGATAGAAAAACAAAATATATTATTCAGAAAATTAAACCGATAGCTTTTGGGGCCATTCTTGGAGTAACATTTTATTATTATTTCCCTAATTTTACAAAATCAGTTTTTTCAAAATAATTTTATGTTATGAAAGTTAATTTTGAAGTTATCTTCAAACTATTTTGATCAAATTTGAAAAAAATTTGATGTTCTGACACAATTATAATATTTTTTTGACACATTTGTTTATTATTGAAATAAAATATAAACTGTACAGGGTGTTTAAAAAAAACATTAAAAAAACATTTGGGAAATGATAGAACATCAAGAAATAAGAAAATTTCTTCCTGTAGAACATGGATGGACTTGTCATCTTGTTTTTTAAATTACAAGGCGTAAAAAACAGTTTTTTAATACCAAAGTTTTGCCACATGATATCCAGAAAACAGCATACTATACCGAAATTTGGTACAGGTAATTTTTTAAGGGTGATAAATTTTGATTATCTGTTAGGGTCGCTAGTTACCATCTATCCTAGAGACATTTCTATGACAACATTTTTAAGGTTAGTTCTTTTACATCGCGTGTGGTATATCATCATGTAAAATTTCAATTTACATAAATATACCATTCTCATTGAATTCATTAAAAACTCAATGGACTGTCCCAAAGTTCACCAGTAGAAGCAAATAGACCATTCTTCAAGCATAGTTTTTTTGGATGAAAATAAACCAATTTAGATCAAGTTAGCTTAGTACAATCTTGCCTTTTCAAAATGTTATTGGCAGTCAAAAATTTGTTTATTGTCAGTTGCATTTTTCTCAAAAATAAGGTTAAAATTTGAATTAAGAAAAATCATATTTGGCGACCTGTATCTCAAAAACAGAAGAAAGAAAACCCTTGGTTCACAGGAAAGAATCGCCCTATTTTGTCATGCTCTATCAGCTTCTGAATTGATGGTATTTTCTTCCTCTGTAGAGTGGAATCTCTAGTACTAAGTTAAAAGTTTCAATGATTCTAGTGGATGGATTACTACTATTGTTTATTATTTTCTATTCAGCTTTTCATATTAATGATTTTTCATTTCATGCTGACTAATTATGTTTAATTAACATCAATATGATAAATTTTGTAAAGATAGATTAGTAATAATGAAAAATTTTCAAAATTATTAAACAATTGGTTAGCATTATTGAATCTATAGTGTAATTATGTGACCACTTATTAGGAACCAGAACTTCTAAAATAAAGCTATTTTCATTTCAGCAGAAATTTTCTTTTCGGGGATTACTATGTCCTGCAGTTACTCCGTTCCAAAGATCAAGGTAATAAATTTAAATTACTTTTTGTAGAATATACATATACAGGGTGATTTCACTTTAAACACAGAAACTGCAGGGGATAAATTAGTTGCCAAAAAATAAGTAGAGCTTGCTCTATAAACTTTTTTCCTGGGGGATGTGGTATTCGAGATGCAGGGTCTTCAAGTTTCCAAAACAAATTATATTTTCTGTCATACCTTCATATTGCGCTGAACGATTTGTATGAAATTTACTACAGCATATTCACTTAATTAGACCTTTTATTGAATGTAATATTAACCTCTTGGCATTAACCAGTGGCGTGCTACTGAAGATGCCACTCTGTTTTCCCAAGAAAAAAATACGTCACTGGTGGTTTTTTGTAGAAATAATGTTAAAATAAGGCACTGTTACGTTAAATGAATGAAAAGCGTTTCTTGGTGTTTTTTAATAGTAACAGCCTTTTGTTTTTCTGAATATTGAGCAGCAAATTCTCTACATGCTCTTGAAATTACTTTGTCACATTTTCCATAAATAACAAACAAATTAAAATAATCCTCATTAGTATAAACGATCTCCAACCATTTTTATTTAAATTTTCGGCAAAAACTTTTAGAGGCACAAGCATTTGACAATGAACTTGAGAAATGTCAAGTTATTTTAATTGTTTTTGGTCATGGCCAATTTGATAAAAGGTCTGATATGAGAAAAACTGTCCAAAAAATAGAAAATTGCGAATATCTCTAAAAGTAGTAATGGCAATCCTAATAATGCTTATATGGCTAGAAAGGAAATTTTGATCTGCATATGACAGATTAAGTTAACAAAGTTATAGTTGTTTGAAGTTATCAAAATGTAACAGAAAAAATGAAACACCTAGTATTAAATGTTTTAATTTGTTAGTATAGGTACCATGATTTAGTGTTGCCTATGCCCTTTACATGTACCAAAAATCACGCTTCTGAAAAGAGTTACTAGCATCTCTGCGGACCCTCGCATCTGTCAAATTTTTTCTTAAAAATGAATCTCAAAATCTATAACTCTTAGGTATAGGGAATAGTTAATAAAGTGACCCTCAAATTTCAACTAGAATCCAAAAATGCAATAATATATAGGGTCTCCTGTTTAAAATAAGAAAGTTAATTTCAACTTCCGGTATAACCGGAAGTGCCATAAAGTTCTAAATATTTTAGCTGTGTTGCCTCTACTGCCTTTGTTAGGTTGCCAAATTTTGAGATTTGTCGGATTAGTACCTTCCGAGATATCGATAGTGGCTATTCCTGGTGGGACACCGTGTATGTTTTTGACAAAATCCAACAAATTTTGATATTTGTTATAAATGGTGATAAAACTATGAGTCGCTGTACTACAAATTGTATTTCATACTTAATACAAAGTTTTATTTATTCTTTAATTTTAGGGCAAAAGATATAAATTATAAATTAATTGGCCCATATGCAAAATTTTTAAAAGCTTGTGGTGTTAAAGGAATATTACGTAAGTTAATATATACCTATCATAAAAAATTTGATATACTTTATTCCTTTTATCTGTTAAAAAAAACTCACTTGAAAAATAGAAAACCTACAAAATTATTAATTTATTATTAATGGGAGAAAGAAAAAAACATATTTTCATTACCCAGTGTAGATTTATAACGGATTACACAGCTGAAAGGAATATGTATAGCAATGTTCAATACATTGAAAGTTTAAATCCAACAAAAACTCATTCACGGAATTACTTTTAGTCAATGATGTAATGGGAGAAGGTGTATCTCTTACTCCAGAAGAAAGAAAGTCACTGACAGAATATTGGGTTGAAATTTGTAAAGAAAAAAATCAGTTTTTAATGGTGCAAATTGGAGGAGCCCCTTTAAAAAGTGTTATTGATATGGTAACGTACAATTTTGAAATAAAAATAAAATAAGTCATTTTGTACAGGGCGGTTTTTAAAAAAGTTGCTATAATAAAGACTAGGTTATTTTAAAAAAGAAAAGTCCTATGAACATTTGTCCTAAATGAGCTAGTTTTCAAGATACAAGTTTTTAATAAAACTGGAACTGATAAACTATTTAAATTTAAAACTTCTTTAAATTTATATATACTGGAAAATCCTAGAATTTTGATGTGATTTAGTGTTTTTAAAATTCTATTAGTCCATTTGGTTTTTCATTATATTTCAAAGGAAATATTTTTTCCATTTTGTTCAAAAGTAATTTTCCACTTATTATTTCATTAATCTGAGTCAAATCTCTTCCAACTAGTTTTGTCACACTCAAGCAAAAATAAGTAAGTACAAAATAAATATTAGTTCCTTCTGGCTTTCCCTGTTTTCGACCATCTTTTTCACAGTTGTATTCAAATTTTTGTTTTGATTTGAAGCTGTACAGTTGCGTAAAGACTTGTAGTGTCAATCAAGTAATCTACTGACACATTTCATGTCATAAATCTTGCTAAAAATAAAATGAATATTAAACTATTAAATAGATTTGATTTTTATTGTTAAGGTCTTAAAATCAAGTACTCAATGGGCATGAGAAAAATGTTTCTGATCGGATTTCGACCAGTTAATCGAGAATTGGATAACCAGCTTCAAATTTCTCTATTTTTATTTAATTATGATCTGATATTTTCTGTTTGAATTTAATTCACTATTTAAGAACATGACTTGATATGAGATTTGGTTTTTGTTCACTTTTTTTAATTCTTTCATTTGTTTTTATAATTTTTAATTACGTTGTTGAAAAATGGAACCATTTTCCATCAGCAGATATCTATCGAAATATATTCTTATGATTGAGGAACGTCTTCAGAAAATTCTATTGAAATTAATAGCAGGTCATGAAAAAAAAAATGAAAAATTGTTCAGGAAAACAAAAATATTTTAATTTATTTTTAATTTAAAAATAACTTTATCAGATTAGCAATAAGTTCATCTCAATACAAAGAATTTTTGATAAAGTTGTTAAGCTTAGCATTTTATAGACAATAAATCTCACTTTTAGTAAGACAGTGATAGAACAAGAAAATCCATCTAACTATAAAAATGTCGAAATACAATGACGCATTTAATTTTTCACAGTGAAAATTCATGGAAAACATGAGCATCCATGTACACATCAGAATATACCTTTCCTGTTTTGTTGTAAAAATACTCAATAATTATGATTAATTAAGGTATTAATGGTTTCATAAAAGCATTCTGTGGAGTGCGATTATGTTTGTAGTACCATATTCGATTTTCTGTATCAGATGTATGTTCAGGAAATGTAATGATAAACGTAAGAAGGAAAAATATCCTTATCCTGAATATATTGTCAACTTGTAAACTTGTATAACTGGTAGAGTGAAGAGATATTTATTTTTAACTTGCTTAGATTTTCTAAAACCCTCAAAAGGTTACTATAAATTTACTGAACTACGCATGAATATGCGTGCGTTAAGTTAAAGTAAAAATTATTTGTCTTGAAAACTGGGCTGCTTAAGATATAGGTACTTATGTTCAAAGGTATTTTATTCTGTAGGATCTAAAAACTCAATCCCTTTATTATCAGAACATAACTAAGGACCACCCAGTATATAGTGGCTTGTTATAGTATGAAAATAGTAAATTAATCATGCCTTTTTAGGCAATTCATGCTGAAAAAGTAAAAGTCGGAGCAATTGTACTGATGCCAGATCTGTATAATAGACCAAAAAATCATTTGGATCTTATTAGATATATTAAAATTGTGTCAGATTATACAGAAAAAGTGCCTATTTTATATCACCACTATCCGAAGTATACACAGATTAATAGTAAGTATATTTTGATCAAGTGTATTTTTAACGTAGTTTTGTTAAAAATTGGTATAAAAAAACGTGAATTTTAAATTTTTATATCAAAATTGCAAATACAACAATTTAATTTTAATGGACAATATGCATAATATTTTATTATTATTTTAGTTGATATGAGCTCATTTTTGCTTGATATAACAGGAGAAATAGACTCTTTTGTTGGATTGATATATAGCACGAATGATTTGCAAGAAAGTTTATCTGCATTGACTCTTAATCCAGAAAAATTTGTCGTATTCATGGGTACGGATGAGGTAATGTCTGATATCAAGTTACAATGAATTTATTTATTTTTTCTATTTGTAGGTCATGTTAGGTGCTGTTGCAAGTGGGTTTACTTGCATAATGGGTAATAGTATCAATATTTTGCCAAAATTAGCAGAGTCCATTTGCCAGTGCATAAAAGATGGCGAAATTAAAAGTGCTCAAGCTTCTCAAAATCTATTGAAAAAAGCTTTGGATAACATCTACTGTAACGGTATTTGGAAATTTAAATTAATTACATTGTGTTGGGATTTATTGGGCAAATATAAAAATACAATTAACTCGTAAATGTTATCTTCTAAGATATTTTTTTGGAGGTAGTACAAAACTGTTTTGTTTGCAAAATTTTTTCGAGTTTATACAGGCTGTTACAAATTTTTTTCTTCTCACTACAGGGATCTTGAAAACAGTAAGAGATACAAACTAGCTTAAATGGGGGCTAAGTTGCGTAATCAGGAGACCAACATTATGTCTCTAAAAAATCAAGGCTAACATGATTAGTTTTCAAAATATTTGAAAAAAATAAAAATTTTGGAAATAAGTTTTTGTTTCATTTCAGACTTGTTTGAGGTGATATGGAAAAAAGAAAAACACTTGCTCATGGCAACTTTTTGCCCTCTGTCGAATGGCTTAATCAATTTCCTCTTTCCAGGACCATCTGTAACTTAATTTTTTTAAATACGATCCTGGAAATTTTATTACATTACATTTATTGTACATTTTCGTAAAAAATAATTCAATTCAACTGGAGGTTGTGAAGAGTCCGAATAGAATTTCGTTAGGAGGTGCAAATTTTCAAATTTCAGCACTGTAATCTTGCGTAATTAGGGGACCAACATTATGCCTCTAAAAATCAAGGCTAACCTGATTAGGATTCGAAATATTTGAAAAAAAAACGAAATTTTTGAAATCCATTTTTGTTTTATTTCAGCCTTGTTTGAGGTTATATTAAAAAAAGAAGAACACTTTTTCATGGCAACTTTTTGCCGTCTTTCGACTGGCATAATCGATTTTTACGTTACGTGTCATATTTCCAGGATGATCATCAACTTCATTTTTTTTAATATATGCCCCTGTAAATTTTATTACATTGTTTACAAGCCTTCATGACCCCCAGTACTGTACTGCCTCAGCCCGAACCAGATTCAGACGTTTTGTCTCGAAAAATTTGTCTTCAATGTATTCGTTTCAAATTTATCCTAAATTTTTTGTTTAGACTTCTGTGTTTCTTGAATTATCGTACACTCTAAGTGTCGTTAGACACTGTGAAATCCACCTAGTTATTTAAACTATCACCATCACCTGGGCACTCGATAAGTTGTTGCGAGAAAATTACAATTTTAATTTTATTGTGACAAATTAATTCTGAAAAATGCATATGAACAACCAAATCTCTAAATTATTATCATACTTTAAAAAATTACAGTAAATATTCAAAAACATTTCAGTTTTCTTCTACACAAAAATCTATTCGTCTCGCAATATTTTGTACTGCCCTTTGAATATCTCTTCTCCTCGGAGAGTTAAATCCTTTCAAGATATTTGCCCTCAATTCTTCTATGTTGTTGGGAACTTCTTTATACATTTTCTTTTTCAACATTCCCCATTAAAAAAATCAAAGGGGATACATCGGTTGGCCGTGCTGGCCACTCGTCTACCCTACCATTTCCTATTCATTGTCCGGGAAACTGTTTATATAGAAAACCCCTAACGTTTCTAGTGTTGTATGACAGTGCACTTGTTGGAACCATATGTGTGGTAATATATTTAATGGAATATGCAGCATATATGCCTCGAACTCGGTAGTCAGAAAATTAAGATGTTTATTACCGTTTAAATTGCTCTCATAGTTGAAAAGTCCTGTGTGTGGTATGTGGTCTCCAAAAACACCATCCCATACATTTAATGAAAATTTTATTTGGTTGCTTGTAGGCCTGTTTTATCTTGGATTTTGTATTGACCAAATGTGTTCTGTGTATTTCTATTGAAAATACCGCAATTAGAAAATTTACTTTCATCTGACCCTATAACTTCATGTAAAAAATTTGGACGATTATGTAATTGCTAAGGCAACCAATTGGAATATGCAAAACACAATTCTGTGTCTCCTAGTCTTAGGCAATGAGAAATGTGTATTTTAAAGGGTTTGTAAAGATTGTGTCTAGGGGTTCTCCATAATTCTTGGTAAATTAGTATCCAGAGCTATTTCTCGTGTTGATTTATGTGGGTGATTAATAATCAAGCATAATTAAAAAAATATATTGTAACTACAGCTTAAAAAACAACAAACCTCAACTAACCTAAATATTTATTTTTAGGTATCTCGAATGCTCCAAATTTAGTCAAATTCTGATCAACTTTTTGAAATAATGTTCTAAGAGGCTGTTCTTTTTCAAGATTTCACCCAAATACATTTCACACGCTCTGTCAGAGTTGCAATTACAGGTATAATAAATTTTGATAATATTATATTTATCTTCATTTGAGAAGGGCATATTCAATAATAGGCAATAACTTAAAGTCAGACAAATTCAAATAAATACTCTCAGTACAGTGTTTTTTGTTTCTTAACACATTATTCATGGCAATTTTTATAATTACAACTAATTTGTTTTTTTTAGTCAATACATTTGGCCAATGTTGAAAATGAAGATAAGCGTAATACGATCGGAATTTATTATACCTGTAACCTCAACTGTGAAAGAACATGTCAGATGTATTTGTAAGAATACCCTGAAAAAAATTAGATCGGAATTTGTTTAAATTTAAAGCACTCGAGAAACTTAGAAATAACTATGGTCACGGGATTAAAACTCTAATGTTTTATTGTAACGTGTAATGGTAATAGTTCATACACTTAGAGTGTACGATAATTCAATAAATATAGAAATCTAAATAAAAAATTTAAATAAATTTGGAACGAATACATTGAGGATGAATTTTTCGAGACAAAATGTCTGAATCTGGTTCGGGCTGAGGCAGTACAGTATTGAGCATCATGAAAGCTTGCAAAAAATTAAAAAATTTCCAGGGCCGTTTTTAAAAAAATGAAGTTGATGATGGTCCTGGAAAGACAAAACGTTACATATAAAAATTGATTATGCCATTCGATAGAGAGCAAAAAGTTGTCATGAGAATGTATTCTTCTATTTTCCATATCATCTCAAACAAGGTTGAAATCAATCAAATACGAATTCCCAAAATTTCAGTTTTCTTCAAATATTTCAAAAACACATCATGTTATACATATATTTATAAAATTTTAGGAGATGCTGTAGCAACAATGAAGGCAGCTATAAGTATCATAACAAATTTGCCAATAGAAACGGTTCGAGAGCCACTGCAGACTGTCTGGGAAGGAACTTTGTCAAAAATGAGAAATAAGCTACGTGAAATAGGAATAATATAAAAAGTACCATTAAAATTGATTTATGTAGTTTTGCTTTCTAAAGTCCTGCTTAGGGCACAAAACGACTGAATGAATGTTCTCTTTCCAACTAAGTATTTGAGAGGAATATTAAGAAAACACATGAATCTGTGGTCATTATATAATTTTGCAGGTACAGTGATAACTTGTATATACTAGATAGTGAATAAAAATGAGATGGTTATCCAGTAGAGAAATCTATGCAGTACTGAATTTTACTTGTGGACACACATATTAAGAAGGTTTATCAGGTACGAAGGTACGTCTAAAGTCTAACGAAAGTTTCTGTAGATTCGCTAGTGACTAAAGAAGTAAACCTTTAGATTTGGCAACATTGCACTTGGCTGACGCGTTCGGCTCGGCTTTCGCTCGCTCCCGTTCGATCATTCTATTTGTTTGGACACCTGCGAATTTCAAATAATATGCTACGTCGAGATCGCGGCGTTGCCGCTATCACGCTATGGAGGATAAGTTAGTTAACGACAGCAGTTTAAAGGAGAATTATTACAAAATTATGTATCTTACAAGTACCTAATCGATTTACACAAGCTGTCATACGGTTCCTTAGATATCGGTTTCCTATTTATACAAGTTGCTGTAGAAACTATTCGTCAATTGTTGCACATTCTAAGTGGGAAGACCAAGAAAATCTGCATTTTCTTAAGACTGTACTAAATCGTGAAAAATTATTTTATTAATATCTTGTCTCTTAGGTATCCAAACTAGTCATAATTTTTTTTTTTGAGGATTTTCATATTAAGCTTATATTAATTTTTTTATGAATATTTGTTTGTCAATTCCAAATCAGATAAACCTCCTTAANAATTACAATTTTAATTTTATTGTGACAAATTAATTCTGAAAAATGCATATGAACAACCAAATCTCTAAATTATTATCATACTTTAAAAAATTACAGTAAATATTCAAAAACATTTCAGTTTTCTTCTACACAAAAATCTATTCGTCTCGCAATATTTTGTACTGCCCTTTGAATATCTCTTCTCCTCGGAGAGTTAAATCCTTTCAAGATATTTGCCCTCAATTCTTCTATGTTGTTGGGAACTTCTTTATACATTTTCTTTTTCAACATTCCCCATTAAAAAAATCAAAGGGGATACATCGGTTGGCCGTGCTGGCCACTCGTCTACCCTACCATTTCCTATTCATTGTCCGGGAAACTGTTTATATAGAAAACCCCTAACGTTTCTAGTGTTGTATGACAGTGCACTTGTTGGAACCATATGTGTGGTAATATATTTAATGGAATATGCAGCATATATGCCTCGAACTCGGTAGTCAGAAAATTAAGATGTTTATTACCGTTTAAATTGCTCTCATAGTTGAAAAGTCCTGTGTGTGGTATGTGGTCTCCAAAAACACCATCCCATACATTTAATGAAAATTTTATTTGGTTGCTTGTAGGCCTGTTTTATCTTGGATTTTGTATTGACCAAATGTGTTCTGTGTATTTCTATTGAAAATACCGCAATTAGAAAATTTACTTTCATCTGACCCTATAACTTCATGTAAAAAATTTGGACGATTATGTAATTGCTAAGGCAACCAATTGGAATATGCAAAACACAATTCTGTGTCTCCTAGTCTTAGGCAATGAGAAATGTGTATTTTAAAGGGTTTGTAAAGATTGTGTCTAGGGGTTCTCCATAATTCTTGGTAAATTAGTATCCAGAGCTATTTCTCGTGTTGATTTATGTGGGTGATTAATAATCAAGCATAATTAAAAAAATATATTGTAACTACAGCTTAAAAAACAACAAACCTCAACTAACCTAAATATTTATTTTTAGGTATCTCGAATGCTCCAAATTTAGTCAAATTCTGATCAACTTTTTGAAATAATGTTCTAAGAGGCTGTTCTTTTTCAAGATTTCACCCAAATACATTTCACACGCTCTGTCAGAGTTGCAATTACAGGTATAATAAATTTTGATAATATTATATTTATCTTCATTTGAGAAGGGCATATTCAATAATAGGCAATAACTTAAAGTCAGACAAATTCAAATAAATACTCTCAGTACAGTGTTTTTTGTTTCTTAACACATTATTCATGGCAATTTTTATAATTACAACTAATTTGTTTTTTTTAGTCAATACATTTGGCCAATGTTGAAAATGAAGATAAGCGTAATACGATCGGAATTTATTATACCTGTAACCTCAACTGTGAAAGAACATGTCAGATGTATTTGTAAGAATACCCTGAAAAAAATTAGATCGGAATTTGTTTAAATTTAAAGCACTCGAGAAACTTAGAAATAACTATGGTCACGGGATTAAAACTCTAATGTTTTATTGTAACGTGTAATGGTAATAGTTCATACACTTAGAGTGTACGATAATTCAATAAATATAGAAATCTAAATAAAAAATTTAAATAAATTTGGAACGAATACATTGAGGATGAATTTTTCAAGACAAAATGTCTGAATCTGGTTCGGGCTGAGGCAGTACAGTATTGAGCATCATGAAAGCTTGCAAAAAATTAAAAAATTTCCAGGGCCGTTTTTAAAAAAATGAAGTTGATGATGGTCCTGGAAAGACAAAACGTTACATATAAAAATTGATTATGCCATTCGATAGAGAGCAAAAAGTTGTCATGAGAATGTATTCTTCTATTTTCCATATCATCTCAAACAAGGTTGAAATCAATCAAATACGAATTCCCAAAATTTCAGTTTTCTTCAAATATTTCAAAAACACATCATGTTATACATATATTTATAAAATTTTAGGAGATGCTGTAGCAACAATGAAGGCAGCTATAAGTATCATAACAAATTTGCCAATAGAAACGGTTCGAGAGCCACTGCAGACTGTCTGGGAAGGAACTTTGTCAAAAATGAGAAATAAGCTACGTGAAATAGGAATAATATAAAAAGTACCATTAAAATTGGTTTATGTAGTTTTGCTTTCTAAAGTCCTGCTTAGGGCACAAAACGACTGAATGAATGTTCTCTTTCCAACTAAGTATTTGAGAGGAATATTAAGAAAACACATGAATCTGTGGTCATTATATAATTTTGCAGGTACAGTGATAACTTGTATATACTAGGTAATGAATAAAAATGAGATGGTTATCCAGTAGAGAAAGCTATGCGTACTGAATTTTACTTGTGGACACACATATTGATATTAAGGAGGTTTATCGGGTACGGAGGTATGTCTAAAGTCTAACGAAAGTTTCTGTAGATTCGCTAGTGACTAAAAAGTAAACCTTTAGATTTGGCAACATTGCACTTGGCTGACGCGTTCGGCTCGGCGTTCGCTCGCTCCCATTTGATCATTCTATTTGTTTGGACACCTGCGAATTTCAAATAATACGCTACGTCGAGACCGCGGCGTTGCCGCTATCACGCTATGGAAGATAAGTTAGTTAACGACAGCAGTTTAAAGGAGAATTATTACAAAATTATGTATCTTACAAGTACCTAATCGATTTCCACAAGCTGTCATACGGTTCCTTAGATATCGGTTTCCTATTTATACAAGTTTCTGTGGAAACCATTCGTCAATTGTTGCGCATTCTAAGTGGGAAGACCAAGAAAATCTGCATTTTCTTAAGACTGTACTAAATCGTGAAAAATTATTTTATTAATATCTCGTCTCTTGGGTATCCAAACTAGTCATAATTTTTTTTTTTTGAGGATTTTCATATTAAGCTTATATTAATTTTTTTATGAATATTTGTTCGTCAATTCCAAATCAGATAAACCTCCTTAAAAATAATTTTCAGTTAATAATAGTGTAAATATGTTTATTTATATGTACACATACTCTACTGTATTTTTAATTGCTTTCATACAATGTGTTTAGGAGGATAAGGAGACATATTAAATAAATATGTAATAGTCTGTTTTTATTTCTTCATCCTTCTACTGTCGTAGTATGCAGGCCGAAACATCAAAATTCACCTATATCTTGAACAGCCACAATATTTCTAAAAGAAAAGCCTACATGACACGTTTCCCGCTGCAAAATAGGACCATTAACCATGTAGAGCACTTCTGCTCGCATAGAGTTCCCAAAGCTTTTCACCACGTCTTTTTCATCTTTCCAAGAATTCTCACAAGGCTCTACAGATGTCGCGAGTACCTCTAGAATTGTCGCCGAGACATCCATGACAATGAATACAAGCACGTGACCGAGCAATAAAAAATCACCGATGTTTTGCAATTGTTCAGGTTATTGTACAGGGTGTCCCACCACGAACTCCATCGATGGATATGTGGGAAACCGCTCGAAGGATTTTTTTGAAATTGAGATGGTATGATACAGACTGTGGGGTCTACCAACATTTGGAAACCTTTTTTAGCGCTGTCACAAGTGAAAGGAGGTACAGCAACAATCCCACTTGCTATGAATTTATAAACATTAAAAAAACTTTTAATCCATGCTGACATGGAAGGTTCAGGAAGTGGGAATTGTGAGGATTTCAGTGACACTGAAATCTTAAAGATCTCATCAGAAAATTCTGTAAAGAAACAGAAAGATACTAGTCTTATCCATAACGCTTTAATAGTTTTAAGTAGAAATGATGATCTATCTGAAGAGAACATAGGGTGTGACGCGCATGAATGTTAATCATGAAGTGGGGACTAAGTGCGTTAGAGGGGAGAGTGCGGGGCAGTGTGCAGTGGGACTTGGAAGGAGGTTGTACGATGTACGCACGATAAACTGTCACTGTTATACTGTTATACGTCAAGAAAAATTACCCACTGTATTGACAAAGTTGTATTTTAAGTGTAATGTATGTAACCAGGAATATATTAATAAAACTGAGATAAGTACGTATTTCTGCCTCCCTGAGATCGTAGCAAGGGGAAAAAGATTTTTATGGGGCAGGTACTGATAAAAAATATATCGACTGTTGTTGAATATTTAGCTGCATTCATTACAAGATCGTTGTTAAAACACAGTAAATGTTATACTTGTCCCGTGCTTTTGACTAATGAAACAAGTAATTCTGCTATTCTCAATAAAAAAAAAAACAGGTGGTTTAGTCAAACCATCTGCTGATATTGTTTTGATTTGCAGAATTTTAGATTATATTACAAATCTAAGAAGCATATTTTATGAACCGTACAAGAAATGTTTGAGTTTCATACCAAAACATTTTTCGTATTAATCATTAAAAACACAGAGCACTGTTAATTCACGAAATTACAAAAATGTTTTTGAGAATAACAATAAATCACTACGAAAACCAAAAAAGACAGTCAACGAAAAAAGTCAGGAGAGTTTTTACAAAATTAATTTTGTTTAGAAATAAATTTGTAATTACGGTGCCATTTCAAAGTTATAGCCTGTAAAAATTAATTCCTAAGCAAAATTCACTTTTATTCAACTGAAATCTTATAAGTACATTGTGTATTTCATTTTGTTCATTGTATTTACAAATTGAAGTTTTAATAAAGACAATAAAAAAATATATATTTGAAATTGCTCTGGTCGTTGAGTTAAAACCATCTATTTTATAGATTGCACTATGAATTTCTCTAGGCGATTTTCTCAAGATATTTTTTTCTTTAATAAAACGAACTTTTCAATGTTGCTGCTAAAAAAAATACGACCACTAAAAAGGTGGAGGTAGCTGGATAAAACTTAGCACCCAGTATATCGATTTGACTAAAGCTTTAAGAAATAATATGCAATAATAGTTCAAATAAATATGCCAAATTTTAACACGAACGGCAAAAGGGTTTATGAAGTTANAAT